GGAAGGAAGGAAGGAAGGAAGGAAGGAAGGAAGGAAGGAAGGAAGGAGACAGGAATGAGGGAGGGAAGGAAGGAGGAAGGGAGGGAGAAGGAAGAGAGGGAAGGAAGAAAGGAGACAGACATAAATGAGAGAAGAAGGAAGGAAGGAAGGAGATATGAATAAGAGAAGAAAGGAAGGAGACAGGAAGAAGAAAATAGTTAATATTTGGGGCAACTCTTTCTCATAATTTGGACATCTTGAAGAAGGAAGAAAGGAAGAGTTATAGGAGGAAGGAAGGAAGGAAGGAAGGAAGGAAGGAAGGAAGGAAGGAAGGAAGATCAGTCTAGGCATGCTGGAATTGTGAGTTGTATACATAAGGTCTGCTAACCTTTTCATCTTCTCTGCTTTCTAAAGTTTCAAGCAAACATCAGTTTTCGTAGAAACACTGACATTAAGAAAAAGTTAAATTTTCCAGGCAAGCCAACCCAAAAGTCTTTGTTTTTCTTGGCATTCCTGCTGGATCCACCCACCCACAGACAGCCTTGGCATATAATCTAGAAATATGTACAGTATGCTGTATATTACGGGAAGAAGTCCTGGGCAAGGAAATGGGGAAGTTTGTAAAAAGACAGAATTTCTTTCATCAACCGAGAGATATCGGTGTCCTGGAAGACAAAGCTACAATGCATTAATCGAGCAAACACCGAGAGTGGAATATTTTAAAAGTAGGTTTCTGTGTTGGCAATTTTTACAATGGCTCACATGGCAATATTTATCTTTTTAAGGAATACTTTTAATTCCCCCCCACCAAAGGCCTGACATTTTGAGACAGAATTATCTCCCTGTGAACTTAAAAGCTAAACATAGATGGAGACTGGGCACTCTATAGCTATAAATTGAAACCCACCAAGCCTATTTCTCACTTTTTATCATCACCTTATCATATTTTCAGAGACATTACTTTGACGATGCTATTTAGACCTCAAGGTGTTCCAGTAGGGAAACGGCTGGAAGGTTAGGTTTTATTTTAGTTTTGTACCTGGCCGGCAGCCCAGATATTGATCAAATAAATATATAAAGGTGTGCCAGAGCAGGTTTTTTGTTTTTTGAAAAGGCAGGGAGGGAAAAAGAAGAAGAATTTTTATGCCGAAATGAGGTCATGCCTCATGACACCCACACATAAACAAAATTAAAAACAGAGACTCCTTGTTTTACCAAGTAAAAAAACATCAGTCTGCAAATAACTATCTTTGCATCTGTGTATCTGTCTGTCTGTCCACCTACCTACCTATCCATCCATCCACCCACCCGTCTGTCCATCTAGCTCTAACATCTATCTGCCCGCCCACCCACCCATTCATCCTTCATCAGTCTATAAACCTATCTCTATCATCCGTCCATCCATCCATCCATTTACACACCCACCCATCCACCCTCCATCCATCCTTCTTCTATCAATCTCTATCATGTCTGTCCATCCATCCATTTATTAATCAATCTATCTCTATCATCTGTCCATCCATCCAAAAAAGTCACATTAAAAATTGAAATGAGAGCCAACCAATGTGGGATCAAGGTTTCTACACCATGATATTTCCAGGGTGGAAGAGATTTCCTGCTAGTTCAGCAAAACTACACCTTCCTCCCAGATGACTCTCTGCTTCTGGAATTCGCAGCCCTCCTGCCTGAGTTGGCCCAGCCCATGATGGTGAGCTCACTTTTGCAGCCAAGAGGACTAGTCACTTATAAATGGAATGCAAAGAAATGAGGTTGGGTTTACTGAATGTTGAGGAAGAGACCAGAATAATAAACGTTTTCAGTCTTTATTATTCCAACCTCTGGGCAAACGATATGTTTGTAAATTGTAATAAACAATAGCGGTAACTTATCTCAAGCATATTTCATGCAACTGACATCATTCAAATTAATAATGAAAGCAGAGTCATCAGCCTCTGGCAAACAGCACAGGGGAAGCCCCGGATCCCCACAATTCTGCCAATGTGAAAATGTCAGCGGCTGGACACAAAGAGGGAGATTTTCCCCGGGCTTGGCCTAACTCCAAGGTTTGCAAAAGTGCAAATGAACTTTAAGAGAAAAAAGTCCTATGGGAGGGGAGAACACCCAAACAAAGTGGCAGGCACCAAATGTGTCCAATCATCATACTGTGGGCACCCGGAAGAGGCCGAAGGAGAGATGTTTGGGTGCAGCATTAGAAACTTTAGGACACGAAGAACTGTTTACAGTTTCCCTTTCTTAAGAACAAATGCTCATTTCCATACTAGAACCAACCTCTTCTCTAATTCTCCTTTTCCTCTTTGTCCTTCTCCCTTTTCTTATCTATTTTCTTCTTCTCTAATTCTCCTTTTCCTTATCTATCGTCTCCTCCTTTTCTTTATCCATTCCCTTTTTCTTCTCTATCTTCCCCCTTCTCCCCTTTCTCTTTCTCCATCTCCATCTCCTCCTCCGTATCAATCTTCTTTTTTTCTCTTTCTCATTCTCCTTCTCTGTCTCCTTATCAATCTTCTCCTTCTCTATCTTCTCCTTTTCTTTTTTCTTCCCCTTTTCCTTATTTATCTTCTCCTCCTTCTCTATCTTCCCCCTTTCTCCTTATCTCCTCCCCCTGCTTCATTTTCTCCTTCTCCTTCTTCTCTTTCTCATTCTCCTTATCTATCTTTTCCTCCTTCTCCATTTCCTCCTTCTCCCCTTTCTCCTTCTTATCTATCTCCTCTTCCTTCTCTATCTTCTCCTTCTTTCTCCTCCTTTTCATCTATACCTACCTACTATCTATCTATCTATCTATCTATCTATCTATCTATCTATCTATCTA